TAAAATCTATAACCATATTCTCGATGTAAATAAGGTTTATTTCATTTTCATTTATCGTTGTTTTTGCGTCTTTTCTATACTGTTATTATTTTATTCCGTAAGTATAGAGGTAATAGAATTTTTTCAAGAGTCAGTTTGTTAAACATATTTAATTGCAATAATATAAACGTATTCTCCAGGCAATAACTGATAGTAAAATGCGAAAAGGGACAGAAATCGAAATTTTTTAAAGCTTCCATGGCAAGAACGGTCCTTCGAATTAGCGAGTAATTCGAGTAGCCTAAGAGCAATCCGAGGAACCGAAAACGCGAGTTAACGACAAGACGGTGCTTACCGCGATTCAGGGAAATAATAAAATGTTTCCTTCGACCAGCCAACGACGTGAAGCGTCCTCGTTAAATCATGATTGGTCTGGAAATTGCACGGGACCAAAGTGTGCCTCTGTTCGAACAGGAATAGGGTCGAACGGAGACCGAAACGAGGGCTCATTGTGGATTTTTGATTATCGGGGCAATTATCGACGCCGTCCACGCAGTACTCGCTAAAAATGCACGTCTCTCTTTGTTTGCTTTTAATCCAGTCTCTTTGTTTCCCTTTTTTTTTCACCCGAGGCTGGTCGCGTTAAATAACGGCGACATCAATCGCCAGGGAATAATCGAGGGGCCCCATTTCTCTTTTCTTCGTCGAAGATGGGAAGTTGTTTACACGGCGGGAAATAAATTAGGTTCAATCAGGGTCGATGGCTTTCGCGCGAACGGGAAGAAATAAATAAACAGAATTCTAATCCGGGGTGGTTGATCGGCGATGGAAATCGGAAGGGAGCATTTCAAGCCCAGAAAAAAATTTGTTTCCTATAGAATTTACCAATTTCAAAATTTTATTATAAAATCTTGCGAACGTGTAATCTTTCTGTAAACTTTTTTCCAATATCTCTAGCCGTTCTCGAGTTATTTAAAGGGTCGATTCCACCCACTAAAATTAAATTTAACCACGTTTACGAAGTTTCATAATTTTTTGAAGAAGAGCACAATTTAAAAAAAAATTCTTTTCTTTTTGTTTACGTACAGAAAATAGTTGCGTTAAGTAATCCGAAGATTTTGATTCGTTATCGGAGAATAAAATTTGCCCGCCGCGCACGAGCTTGCAACGAGAAAGGTGAGATTACGAATTGGATCAAAAATTGAGGATTTTTCCGTTCGTTCGTGTTTGTTCGAATCGATGGAATTCCTGATCGCGCATTCGAGTTTCTTTTCCGTTTCGCGATTTGTAACTCCTGCGTCCCGTTTCCTACCCCGTGCCCTGATCGTTTCGACGAAATTGCTATCCGTTCGCTGTCCGTTGTATTTTATTTAACGTCGTATTATTCGACCGGTCGACGAGAAGTTTGTGCTAAGAATAACGAACGCCCGTCCCTTCGAGTTCCCTGCATCGGTGTTCTTCAAATTCGCCGATATACTTGCCCGTTTCCGGCGAAAAGAGGGGAAACTTTTGGTTTCCGGAACGGTGGTCGGAACAGACGAATTTTCTTCCGGAGTTCGAGGCAGTTCCCTTCACCGTTAAAAATTAAACGACGTATTGGCGAAAAACTTGTTCCTTTCCCAGATATTCAACTAGTTTCTACGAAATTTCTATATACGGCGCTTCTGAAACGAAGCATGTATTGTACTTTATTTAAATTCAATGTTAAGCTGACGATAAATCCATAGAAAAACGAGCGTATTATTCGTAAGATAAACATATAAATAAATAAATCTCTATTGTAGTCAGTTGCAATTGAAACAGCTGTATAATTGAATTACATTAGGAGATAAATCATAGAGTTCTTTATTTAAATTCAATGTTAAACTGACGATAAATCCATATAAAAACGAGCGTACTATTTGTAAGATAAACATATAAATAAATCAATCTTTAACGTAGTCGGTTGCAATTGAAACAGCTGTATAATTGAATTAAATTAGAAGATAAATCATAGAGTTTGATTGACAAAATCGAACAAACCACAAAGAAAGAAACACTATTATTACTTTTGTGGTGTTTGCACTATTGTGCAAAGGAATTTAGGAAATTGAATTGCACATTTGGCAAGGCCATTAACCACAAGTGTTGCTCTGTAGGCCCATAGTTTATCAATAATTATTGAAAACGAGGCTCATGGTCGACAGAAACGCAGAAATTTCGTGACAATAAAGCAATTTCTAGGCCTTCAATCCGTAGCGCAATTAAGCGACTGGAACGTCAATATTTCCTACTCGACGACAGTATCGTAAATCCGGGTTTAAAAAGTTTTAACGCGTTACTGTCTAGTATCGCAGTCGTCTGACACACTCGTTTCCGACGTTTCAAAGGGGAGAAACTCGTCGAATTCGTGGCCAAAGCCTCAAACTATATTTTTTATCGTAATATTCGGCATTTACGTTCTGGGTATTTCGTTCGTTCGCCTTGAAGAATGCAAATTAAGGTACAGATACAATTTTCTGAAACGATCTTATCGAAAATATACAGCGAAATTGTTATCATATTCCAAGAATTTGATTTTTAATATTATATACACATGTCATCGTGTAAGATACACTCCCAGCCATAAAGATAGCACATGTATGCTATCTTTAATTTCTCACTGACACACGTACAATTTTGGGTTTGTAACGTATAATATAGCAAGCTTACGAGCTCAGAACATGCGGATCGTTGTAAAGAGGTCGCGGCATCACGGCGTTTTGTTTACAAAACAGAAACAATGTTGTATTTTAGGAACGAAATGATAGCACACTCCGTCTACATGTTTATAAACTGCTTAGTATTTCGCGATCTCTTAGGTATTCAAGACGCGAAAGTATTGCCTAGTAATTTACAAGAATGGGACGGGGGAAAAAATTAACGACATCAGAAATAAAGCATATTCTTGAATTGAAAAGGCAAAATTTATCAGTATCTAAAATTTCGAAAATAACTAGCAGAAGTCGAAAGGTAATTTATAATTTACTTAAAAGCGTGGAAAATTATGGTAAAAAGAAGAGTAGTGGAAGACCATCATCGTTGTCACAACGGGATAAACGAACTGTTTTGCGTATAGCTTCTAATACCCAGTGTACAACAAAACAAATCATGCAAAAGGCTGGCATCAATGCAAGTGTTTCAAGTGTTCGTCGTGTATTACAATCATGCAAGCACATTAGAAGACTAAAAATAAAAAAGAAACCTGCATTAACTCCACGGCACAAACAAGAACGTTTACAATTTGCCAAAGATCGAATACACTGGAAGAAGAAGTGGCGAAAAGTGATATTATCCGACGAAAAAAAATTTAATTTAAATGAACCTGATGGTTTAAACTATTATTTCCACGATCTAAGAAAAGAAAAATTGTCAAAAATTCGGCAAGCAATGGGCGGTGGTGGAGTAATGGTGTGGGCGGCCATCGGTTACTTCGGTAAGACGGAAATAAAATTTATTCATGGAAAAATGAACAGTAAATATTATTTGGATTTGATAAAGCAACAAATAACAAAGCATGCCCTACGTATATCTGGGTCTGGATTCATATATCAGTAGGATAATGCAGCGGTACATACTGCAAAACTTGTAAAAACATATTTTGAAAAAGAAAAGATACGTGTTTTATCATGGCCTGCGCGCTCACCGGATATTAATATTATCGAAAATTATTGGAGTCAACTCAGTCAAGCAGTTTACAAACATGGGAAACAATACGAGAATGTCCACGAACTAAAAGAAGCTATTGTCGCGGAATGGAGCAATTTAAATCAAGAAAATATTCAAAAATTATATAAGTCGTTACCAAATAGAATGATTGAAATCATAGAAAATAAAGGAGGATGTACTCATTATTAAACAATTAATGAATAATTATATAGATTGATAGTAAATTAAATAAATGTTTATTGCTTTATAAGTGTGCTATCATTTCGTCCTTCGTATACAACACTGTTTCTGTTTTGTAAACAAAACGCCGTGATGCCGCGACATCTTTGCAGCGATCCGCATGTTCTGAGCTCGTAAGCTTACTATATTGTGTGTTACAAACCCAAAATTGTACGTGTGTCAGTGAGAAATTAAAGATAGCACGCATGTGCTATCTTTTTGGCTGAGAGTGTATGTCGAGCATGTCTGACCATGATTCGATATTTCTACTTAACATCGATTGCTGTTCTCAAATATTGATTATTTTTTATTGATTTTATCGTTTTCTAGTTGGAATAAATTATATCGTGGCAACGTTGATGCTTGAAAATACCAAAACAATAATAAACAAGCGAGTAGATTAATAAAACCTCCGAACGCAAGTAGAAATAACAAATATTGGCCCGACTCGATGAATTTTCAACGTCAATTATCTAGATAACAAACACTTGCGTGAAAATATTTTACTCTATATTTTCGATTCAATTTTCATTTAGAATGATCACGTTTTATATTTATAAAAAAATTTGCAAAAATTTATTGAACATTGAATTTTAAGTAATTCTGAGAAAATCTAATTTCCCATGAGGTAATATATCCACTTAATATTCTTTTATTCTATATCGTCATGTTAATCGTCATGTTAATAACAATGTTTAATCACCGGGACAAGACGTTTCAATTAATGGAACAGGTTTAAAATTCTTTTTAAGCAGTCGATCATAATGGACTTAATTTCCCATTAATTTAATTTTTATTTCCTCGTAATCTCCATAAAAATCTCCTCGTAATAAACAAATAATCAGTTTTTGTCTAATAGGACATATTGGAGGATAATTTTAAACAAGTTTCTTAACACCAGATTTACGAGACCCGTCAATTTGATGGACATTCCACGTTTGAAGATACTTATTTACTATTTATTTAAAACTCGATTTAGCGTTAAACGTTTAACTACTGGGACGTTCACCGTAATTATTTACTTTATTCCCTGTAAATTTACAATAGACGCGCGTTACGTACGTAGAAAATTGTGGAAAGCTTTTCCTAATCTTGTAATATTTTTCTATCCTCAGGTGACGGTCTTCGATATTCAGCGGCCAGGCGTTCGTCCTGTGGGAGATAGAGACCAGAAGTAAGGATGGCCTTTCACTGGGATAAGCTCTCACCAGCAGAATTTCAACAGCTCCAGAACTTGGTCGCTTGTAAGTAAAAAGTGAAACACAACTCGGTCGTTCCGAGTTTCTAGCTAGTCGAACTCGGTTGCATACGAAACGTCCAGGGAAAAAGTAGATTCTCGAAGCAGGTGATTCATACTAATACGCTATGCATTTCCAGATACAAATAGTAGAAGCACTTAGTATTCGTTAAAGGAACGTATCACTTTTGAAAATCTATCGCTTCGTCCAGATTTTACAAGTTTTGTTAATAAATATACAGGCCTATAATAAACTGCCTTTGCAATTAACACGTTCACGAACGTTTTCATTGAGATGCAACGAATGCTATAATATTAAAATTTATAAACCACATTATACATTCCATTCTATATATAGCTTTTATTTTCTAAAGTTATTATGTATTTTAATGTAATGGCAAACTGGTTCGTTGTGTATTTTCATTTTATTTTGCCTTTGTATACGTAAAAATTTATTTTAGCTAGCACATTGTGTAAATTAAGTAGAATTGCAACACTTGGCGTAAATCACTTGATCACTTTTTGCAGCTCGTTAAAATTTGCATTGTCCGCGAACGTGTTAATATTATATTACCCAAAGGCAATGCTTAATAAATATACAAACCCGTAATAAATTACGACATTTGCAAATACATATTAAATATGCAAGATTGATATAAACTGTCCTGTTGGTCGTAAGAAACTGTACAATTTTGTCTTTATTTTTTTTCTAATTAGAATAACTTTCGAAAAAATTGCTGACTAGTAATAGCGTGAACATCCCGTATTTTATTTAACCCTTAAATGGATTATTGGTCAAGTTTAAACTAATAATCCTCCATTAGTTCATTATTTTTTAAATGCTTTTAAGGGAAGGTGATTTCCATTTACCAATCTGGTAAGAATCAACATTAAGTAAAATAATTCTGTTGAGATCGAGAGTCCACTTAAGGGTTAACGTTGTTCTATTGTACGATGAATTTGGACAAGTTTCAATCTATTCTTGAGAATTTAACGATTGCGATCTTTTCTTTCAGAAGTGTATGTACAGTGAGTGTAAAAAGTATTCGTACACTAGTCAATTTGAGCAAAAACTTTGCAGAACTTTGTTTATTACAAAAGTATGTTAACAAAAACATACATACATATTCTTAGAAATCTCTGGAACAAATGTCATTAACAACAAATTATTTATTTATATTTATTATGAAAATATTAACAAATTTCCAGAAATTGGCGTGAAATATACGTGTAATAAGTATTCGTACACTTCTAATTTTACAACAAAAACTATAAATTTTAGTACATAAACGTAACAAAAATCAGTCTATTTGCTATTTTAGTATCTAGTGGGATTTCCTTTAGATTGTATAATCGCTTTAAGCCTTTGCGGCATTGAATTTACTAAATGTTTGGTTATAGTACTAGAAATTTTGTTCCACTCCTCTAAAAGTGCATTTTTTAAATCTTGTTTCGAAGAAATGTGATAGTCTCGAATTTTTTCTTCAAGATGACTCCATAAGTGCTCTATCACATTTACGTCTGGAGACTGTGGAGGGATTTTTAATTGCTGCGGCACATTATATAGGATCCACAGACATGTATTATAAGCATTATGCTTTGGATCATTATCTTGCAAAAATACATAATTGCCCTGTAACTGCATTTTATTTGCACTAACCTGAAGATGCTCTTTTAGAATATCGATGTACATTTTGTGATTCATGATACCATCGATAAAATGGAGGGATCCAACCCCGCTCGCACTCATTGAGCCCCAAACTGTGACTGATCCTCCTCCATGCTTTACGGTCGGCTTCAAATTTCTTTTTTCGTACTCGGTATTTCTTTTCCGCCATACTGTACATCGTCCATCTGACCCAAATATGTTAAATTTACTCTCATCAGTAAATATAATACGGTTCCAGTGCTCCATAGGAACATTAACATACTCTTTCGCGAATTGCAATCGTTTCTTTCTATTAATTTCATTTACGAAATATTTCTTACGAGCTACTCTGCCGTGATATCCTCTATCCCGTAAAAAATTACGCACTGTGTTACTGCATACATTAATGTCCAGATCATTTTTAAGTTCAGCTGTGATTTTCACCGCACTTATCTTTGGATTTTGCTTTATTTTTCGAATTATCCATCGGCTGGTATACTCATTTAGTATTCGTTTACGTTCGTTTCTTGGATTATTTTTTACAGTTTTTCGATCGCCATATCTGCCAATGATTCCTTGAATCGTGGACCTCGGTCTATTTAAAACTTTAGAAATTTCACTCAGTGTTTTACACTTATTATGTAAATTTATAACAAGTTTCCTTTCTTCTTCAGAGGTTTCCTTGCGTTTTCGTCCCATTTTACTGATAATTTCGTTGATACTGTTTGAATTCAGGATACTACCTATACCGACAGCGTCTCCAGACATACTGATGCTAAGTATGTTTACATATCATGGATTACCTTGTAATCGTTCTATGTGGAATGTTACGAATCAAAGACTGTACGAATACTTATTACGCGTATATTTTAGGTCAATTTCTGGAAATTTGTTAATATTTTCATTATAAATATAAATAAATAATTTGTTGTTAATGACATTTGTTCCAGAGATTTCTAAGGATATGTATGCATGTTTTTGTTGACATACTTTTGTAATAAACAAAGTTCTGCAAAGTTTTCGTTCAAATTGACTAGTGTACGAATACTTTTTACACTCACTGTATATTGTAACAGTTTCCAAAGCGTAAAGTTTATCATGGCATCGCCGGGGGTAGATTAGGCCAACGGTCTCCTGTATTATTAGTCGATCCCTCAGTGTTGTGTCCTTCGCAAATAGTCGAATCCCGGTTGCCGGATCGATCGATCGGTTTGCTCGTTTTCTTCCTTATAGACGGCCACGGCAATAAACGCGACGCGTACCTATTTTCCGCGGTCCTTTTTTCCCCCTCGATACGTTTGAGAACAGCTCGTCTCGAGCGAGGCAATATCGCGTTGATATCGCTTTAATTACCATCAGCTGCCAGCGATATCGAGTACTGTTGACGTTTGATTTTTTTTTTCTCTCGTTGTTTGTTCGTCGACGCGGCGTTTTCAAGGACGCAGCTAATCCTCGAATTTTAGAAAACGTTTCTACCTTGGAACGTTCGTTTCATGATTCGGAAACGGGGAATTTGACATTGTTGCGTTCGGAGCGTCATATTAGGACTCCATTGTTCCAGATTCTACGCGAAAGCTGCAGGATGTCCTCGCCGAATTTTGCGGATCAAACACAACGTCCAGCGGTACTCCGAAATACCACCCGGACGGGGTAAGCAGAACCATCTACCAAACTTTGGAAAATTATTTATTACTATATTTCTAACTCGACTAAGTCAACCATAATTTTTCATCAACCCCTCGACGTACGATTCAATTTTAAATAATTCTTCAAATGTGTATTTATTTGATTTAAGTTAGTGCATGAAATAAAAATGTGTTAATTTTAATATACATACAAGACTCGCGAAACTCGACATCGAGAACGATTGTTCCCTGAACAAATTTAACACCTGTTTTTTCCAGGATACAAATTGTAACTGTCAAATAGAGTGTGTTTTTTTAACAAAACAGAAATTCAGAATTCGTGTTTTCTCGCGAAGTTGCGCGAATTGGCTTAACTTTTTCACGCGTAATGAGAGGCTCTCCTTCTCTGGAAGAATTTTGTTGCCAGAGGGAAGCTGATTTAGCATGTTGAGATAGGCGTGAAAGGCGCAAGCCCGTAAGCCGCTTTGCCAGCCCCGTCGAGTTTCGACAGAGCCACTCATATTTCTGCGGCGAGTCGTTTCCGATGGTATTGTATTAGTCGATACTCGATGGAGGCCTCCCCCACGTATCTGGCCCGCTAATGCCAGGAATATGCGAGCAAACGAGCCGGCACAAACGGACTGCGCGATCCTAATTTAATTCCCCGTCCTGTGAATCTAATTGCGAGTCCTCGGCGAAGGATCCTACTCGCGTACGCCGCTGTTCCCTCGTACGATTCTCCCATTCTTCCTGCGGCTCAGATTCGTGAAACGTTTATTGCCCACATTCCATCGAATTGAACCTCTTCTTCGCGATCAACCGGCAGAAACACGAAACTCCGTAACGTCTCGTCTAGGCTTTTAACAGAATCATTCGTGTTCGGTACGATATTACTCGATTATTATAAAATTTCCGCGCCCTGCTAACAAACTATCAAACTAAGTTGAATCTTGTAGATAGTCGGTCGAAAACATAAGCTTGTCTTCTAAATTTTTTGCAAGAAAAAAACTGTTGGGTAAAGAGAATGAATCCGATTTAAACACAGTGTAGAAAAATACAATTTGTCGGTTCGCCCTGATAACTGTTTATTTCGATTCTGTGATCGGTGGAAACGTGTATGTACGTGTGTGTTTATCATCTGCTAATTATCTGTATAGGATGGCGTTGTTGTTGTTCTAAACAACTAAAATGAAAACAAAAAATTTAGAATTGATCAGAGAAAAAATATAGGAGATTACATAGAATGGTCGAGGGAGAATTGTAAATAATAGAATGAAACCTGTCTCGATCTCTCGAAGTCTTAAAGCTTGGACCTTAAAGTCTTTAATGCCCAGCGTCGTACAAAGCTCGAGCTCTCTGCGAGCGTAATTAATATTGCACGTATTAAGGGAAGGCGTGACAGAGCAAATTGAATTCTCTCAGTAGTGGTCAGAGATGGAGATTTGAGGTCGATCGCAACCGACGTGGAATAGCTCTGGCATGTTCAATTATGACTCACGACCGGTGATTCTGCACGACGGAAAGGACAAAAGCGTCCAGTCGCGTAACAAACGGTGCAATTCTACGTCCCGACGCTGAACTTGCGAAACAACCGGGAAACTGGTGTCTTTTCGACTGGGAAATTGCTGAATTGCTGCCATTTCGCTTATAAAATATAGCTTCAACGTTCTTCGACTAGTAAATACAGACGGTATTTATGTTGACACCTTCAATTTTTACACACTCTCACATATCTCTGTAGAGCGTATCTCTCTTTTCTTTGAAACATGGCGTCTGCCTTTTGTTATTTATCGTTTCCCCCACATCGGCGATACATCAGTATCGAAAGAGAAAAACTATTAATATTATTCTAGATTTTTCAATTAAAAGTGTAATTCTTGAATTGTTCTGATATCAAACTTCATACTAAAAAAATTAAAATACAATGTCAACGTACTTTCCATCTTCGGTTATATTAAACATTTTGCGTTTTTACATAATTTTGTATCTGTATAGGAATTAGTTTGCACTTTATGTATTTTCTTCTTTTTGTTAAACACATCTACATAATAAATGAGCTCTTACACTTACATTATCAACTTTATTTTTTATCATTTATAATAGAACTTTACGTGTCAAAATAAATACCTTCTTGAGCTACGAGCTAAACAGAAGATACTTAGTTGCTCGTGTTAATTAATATATCCTTCGAAAAAGAAGTATTTCAATGGATAGAGGTAGACCTTAAACACCACGTTTCACGTTTATTTGAAGAACCAAAAATGATCTTCCTTTGAGCATTAATTTTTGTAAATCTGTTACGCCAAGTGCTTGCATGAATTATTTACAACGCTATATCGGTCTAGTCGTGCTCCTTAGTGTAACCGAGAATCACTTTCGTCTAAAATCCGTTGTTCAGCTTTCGACTGGGCACGTGGGAAGATTTATTGCTCTACACAGGTTTCCACAACTTTTCACCGTCCTAGGCATCCCTCCCTTGCGAATTCAGCCGTTTCTCTCCAATCATCACGATAAAGGAGGCTCAAATTACATCGACGATCGCTTATAACCAGTGGATGTTGTTTCTTATAAGACCAATCTGGTTCTGATGGCCGAGTAGAAAAGAAAAGAGCAGTTTCGCCCGATCAAAGATTCTTGTCTTTCGTTTATGTATCGAGGGTTCGTCCGAGAAAAGAAAAACAGAATAAATTTTATATACGAACGTATAAAACAAATTTTCCATTAGACGCGTGTCCTTGTAAATCGTACGCAGAAACGATCTTCAAGGAACGAACGCCATGCAAAACGAAACGAGAGAAATCAGTTCCTCGTTAATTAACGATAGAAAATAAGGAGGGAAGATCCCCAGGAGTCAATTGCGCAACATTCGTTCGGAACTGCTGCGACGTAACCGTGGAAGGAAAGTAAATACGGAGGTGGGAAATGGCTCGATATAAAGGATCGTTATCCTGTTGCTGGATAACGATGTATACTCGTCTTTCACGGTTTCTGTGTGGCCGATGCGCCACCCGACAATCCATCACACAAGGAACATTATCAGCCATCGTGTCAACCGCGATAACAACCCTGTCGTTATAGTTTCATACTCCAGCCCGAATTGGCATCATAAATTCCCATAATAACCGATCATTATCGACACCGCGTTCCGATAAAAAATTCTTTCTCCTCGTGTTTAGGGGAAACAATTAATTCCCAGACTGTAACTTACTTGGAAATTTGTTAAATAATAATGATTTTTAATTTTAATGTTTTCTATTCGAGCTACTTTTACTCATCCTGAACCAAAACTTACTATTTTTATCGGGTAAGAACGTTATACTAAGGTTAATTATTAGTAAAACGCATATTTGTAATCATTTTTTGACAAAGAACTATACAATTTCTTTTATTGTAAATTTTAGGGAACACTCATAGTAATACACATTCAGAGTACTGTCACAAATTTTTCTAAAACTTTTCGTAGAAAATTGAATTAATCATAAATCAACATCCTTTCACCCTTCCTTTTTAAGGTCTCCACTGGATTCGTTGTAACTCCCATAATTTTTAATATTTCCATCTAAAAAGAATGGTGGATACTTTTGGAACGAAAACTCAATTAAAAACAAATTCGGTTTGGACCGAGAATACACCGTTAATAAAACTATACGAATATTATTCTTTCGAAGCCAGCAGGCAGGAATGAAACCCGATCGAGTTAAATGTAAATGATCAACGGGGTTAGTATCTCCCGTTCTCTTCCCGCAGTGATTAGATCGACGGATAAAAGTTGCCACACACGGTCGCCGTTTCTTTTTTTTTTTGCAGTCGGGCAAAGCTCTATCGAAATCCAATTTCCTCGAACAAAGGGACTGGCGAATCTGGCATGTACAAGGCGCGAAGCTCGTCGCCGGAACGATCGGCTCTGATAGCGCGTGAAACTCTGTAATTTCTCGAGTCAATCTCGATTCCTGACGAACGATTCAAAAGGCACAGGAGTCGGTCACCCATGAGACACGAAAGCTCTCGAATTAAGCGATTCAAGCCGAATTACTGCTTGTAATTAGAAAGTAGCTATTGAAATTCGATAAGAAACGCGTCTGGTTGATTCGCGACACGGACGAGCCTCTATTAAAGTTAGAATTTCAGTGTCACTTTTTCGTAGAAGCCGAGGTAAGGTAATGAATGATCGAATTGTTGGCGTTGCTTTGAAGTTAATATTCGATGAAATCTATGTTAAACGACAGGAGAATTGTTCAAATAGCATCGCAAATATGTCCTTCGGCCAACCGGATATTTGAGATATCGTGCTACCACAAACGAGGTATACGAGTTTCGTGGCCCCATCTGACTGCCATACCTGCCTGCAAATTTGGAGCTGATTAAACGTTCTTTTCTCATGGATGACTGTCAGTTAAGAAACTATTCACTGAATTAGTATTGATGCCCAGACAGCTGTAGTGTGTGTGTAAATACATGTGAGTCGACTATGGGAGGGATTGAAAAAGGTAATCCAGTATCATCAGGCGGCAGGCCGGTGCCTGAAGGAAACTGCCCCTCCACTTACACACACACTATTGCATAGCCACCTTGTATATGAGTTCTGGCGGTTCGTATAGCTTCGGGGATTCGAGGAAGAAGTAGTTGATTCTAATGGTCTCCTACAACAGTGAATGTATTTCATTGAAATTTATTTGTGAAGTAGAGCTCATGGAAACCCAGACAAAAGTATTAAACAATATTTCCATACGGCGTAAAACAAATTTATTAAAAATCAAAAACAAATTTTTAAGATAAATCGATAGGGGGTAGGTGCCTAAATTTTTCAACGAAAAAAAAATTTCAAATCCTTTTATAAATATTTTTTTCGATTGCAGGGGTCAATTACAATCACTTTTGGTAAATCCACAAACCCCATAACTTCTACGCACTTTCGAGAAAAAATTCCTCACTGAAAACGTAATATCTGACCAGAAATGTTTCCTCAAAATTTCATATGTATATGTATAAGTAATCATAACTCCGGAACGGATTGGACGATTTTAA